TTTCAAGTGACTGTGCTGATTGCCATCGTGGTAGGATTTCCTGTTCTTGTAGTAATAAGGAAAGTACAGCTGGGGAAGTTAAGTCACATTCCCAAGGTATATAAGCAAGTCACGGCGTGGGGGTTAGGATCTAAGAAAACACCAGAGGGGTGCCTGGGTGGCTCAGTCGGTTAAGCATCCGACTCCAGCTCAGGTCATGATCTCGCGGTTCATGAATTCGAGCCCCACGTCGGGGTCCAGGCTGACAGCTCGGAGCCTGGAGCCCCCTTCAGATTTTGTGTCTCCTTCTCTCTCTGCCCCTCCCCCACTCACACTCTGTGTCTCTCTCCCTCTCAAAAAATAAACATTAAAAATTTTTTTTAATTAAAAAAAATAAGATAACACCAGAGCCTCCACACCCAACCCCACTGGCACCCCCAGCATTAAAAAATTAAGAATGTACTGTGGAAAGCATCGAGGTATCTAAATGTAAAGTATTTTCTCTTTCGCCCACTTCTACTACAAAAGCTTCAAAGACGCGAATGGGTCTACTCTTTGGCTTGCTTCTTTCTGTTGTCCAATCATCACCTCAAATGTCCAAGAGAGAATCTGGAAGAGGAAAACGCAAACCTCTCTGGTTGCTTTTAACAACAGAGAAGCTCCGGGCAGGCACCACAGGAGGCCCATCTTTACAATATACGAATGTGGGGAATCTTTTCTCCTGAAGAGAAATAACGAGTGAGAAGATCCAGCTAACTCACCTTAGAAAGCAGGAACGGACTGCATGAAATACATGAACAATCTCTCTCTCCCCAGAACCTTTGCCAGACTTGGCACAGGCAGGCCCTTTTGAAATACATAATTGAATATTCCTAACACTCAATTCTTCCACCTACTTTGATCAATAGTTCATTACCTAAGTTAGAACTGCCAGAAGAGGCAAACTCTTGAGCTCATTTGTCCCATATTTGCATGAATATTATGCACTCAATGTCACGCTCCTTTGAACTTCAAAAGAGCTTCCGGGCCTCTTTGACGACAACTTTAACAACAGAGCATAATGGAGTTACAGAAAGACTTTCTTCCCCAGCTAAAGACCTCAAACCTTGCTGATTCTGGAAAGTAACAAACTTTTACAGAAGCCACAAATGGCTCCTTCGTCCATTGCAATGCACCATCAGTATTTCCTGGGTTCCTGAGCCTTTCTCGTCTCCTGTGACAGGAACATAACCACGGCTAATCAGCTATTAGGAAGTGGCAGCAACCACCCCTAACTTTCCTTGTGAAAACAGCTTTCTGCAAATGCGGCATTTTCTGCAGACCTCTTCAGATTCTACACCGAGTGAGCATCTTTGACCATAACAGCACGCCCCCTCCTAACACTCTGATGCCCAGGATAGGAGGGAAACAGGCTACACAGCATCTGCATTGACCTAGAAGCTTACACTGAAATCAACCCACAAAGGATCAAAAACCTTGGCTTCCTTGTGTAAAATGGCATCAGGCAGCAAGAAGAGATGTGAGGGTTTATTACCCTTACACTTACACATTTCCTGGAGTTTCCCCAGATTTTTATCCTTGTTTTAAAAGTGATATTAGGGGCGCCTGGGTGGCTAAGTCAGTTAAGTGACCGACTTTGGCTCAGGTCATGATCTCATATTTTGTGGGTTCGAGCCCTGAGTAGGGGTCTGTGCTGACGGCTCAGAGCCTGGAGCCTGCTTCGGATTCTGTGTCTCCGTCTCTCTCTGCCCCTCCCCTGCTCGTGCTCTCTCTCTCTCTCTCTCTCTCTCTCAAAAATAAATAAACACTAAAAAAAAAATTTAAAGTAATACTTGCCAATTGTGGAAACTCCAGAAGCACAAAGATGAGCAAAAGTAAGTCATGAACCTACCACCCACAGATAAAAAAAAAAAAAATTAGCTCCCCACTATACATGACTATAAATTTCGGATGAAGTAGAGAACTACGGGTAAAACCCCAAATTATGCAAGCAGTAGAAGAAAATATAATAGAATGAGTGGTAAGGGTCTCCCAAGAAACAAGAAGAAATTCAGAAGCCGTAAAGGAAATAAATAGCAGATCCGACCACACAAAAATTTAAACCTTCCATATGGGAAGGTACAACTTAAAGTTAAAAGCAAATGGCAAAAGGGGAAAATAATATTTTGAACATAAAAGGTCAGGAGCAAGATTTGCAATAACAAAACCTTAATATGTATGCTTTGATGGATCACGAAGACAAGCAACCTAACTGCAAAATAGGCGATGCACTCTCAAAGATAAAATAAACATTTAAAAATATTCTAAAAACTCATTGCAAAGATACTCCAGAATAAGAAAATAGTGCAGCAAACCTGAAGTATGGTTTCTCCTATTAAATTGGCTCCAAGATACAAAGAGTAATTATACTTGTGGGGAAAGAATTCGAAAAGGACTCTCATACACAGACGGTGGGAGTATACATTGATAACAACTTCTTCGAAGGACAATGTGACTGTGCTTACCAAGATTAACACTGAACACCCACTTTGACCAAAGGACTCCCCACAAATACTCGCCTACGTGCCTGGAGGTGTTCATTAACACCTTAGTTGTAATCGCAAAAACTGGAGACACTCTAAGTGTCTACAGCTAGTGACCATGGGTAAGTAATCCATGGCACACTTACACAACTGGACACTATGCAGGCATTAGAAAGAATACGGTACTGTTGTATTGCAACGTGCTGACATGGAAGGATGTCCTAGACCCACTTCTGAAGAAAGGTTACAGAAAAATACATACAATCGCCAAGAAAAAAAAAAAACGAAAACAAAACCTGTACTTACGTAGGTTTTTACGATACAGAGAAAAAGTGTTTGGAAGAATACATAGTAAACTATTAGTCATGGTTGCCTCTGGTTGGTAGCTGAGGGACACGCGTTTTTTTTTGTAAAGCTCAGGTGCTTTCAGATTGTTTTGTACTATGAGTATTATTAGTTTGGGGATACTTAGGAAATTTCAGAATAAATTAATTAAGCACTGCGTAGGGTCATCAAATTTGTAATAAGCAACGTTTTCAATGGTAGCACGACAGCGCATTACACAGATGGTTTATATGACCATTCCCCAATGGACCGACATTTCCACTGCTTCTGCCTTCTCATTGTTGGAGCTTCCGTATAAATCTCTGCGCATGCCTCGTGTGTGTGTGTGTGTGTGTGTGTGTGTGTGCGCATCTGCATGTATCAAGGCAACATACAGAGGGCATATGCTTTAAGATTTCCTTTAGTGGAGATAACTGTGTACATGTCCTCGAGACAGTGGGTGTGGCCACACAGAATGATGCTGAGCAGCTCATTCAGGGAATGAGCCTCATCATCTGACCGAAAGCCTGAAACACTAGAACAGAACTGATGCCCTAGGCCATCTACTATATAATCCTTTTGACACCAATTGAATATCCAATGGGCTTGGGACAAATTCATAGGCAGCAGGAAATGTTATAAAGTGATAGTTTGGGGTCTGTAAATATTTTGTAAGTCCTATTTTTCCTTGGTTGGTTCATTAAGCTCCAAGTTGCATGGACAGTACTCCTCAATTCTTTATATCTATGGAAGACCTCCCAGAAGAGACGGTCTTCTAAGAATTGCAAGCTTCCCCTATGACGCCATCGCGAACAGGTCATAAGGGAAGTTTCTTCCTAAGAGAGCAAGGATTTTAGGCCCAGTTGGGTTGTAAGTGGAGCTGAGAATGGATGGACAACTTTTCTATCACGTCCACTTAAAGGAGAGCTTTCTGGAGGGAGAGGGAGGTCATTGGAGGAAAACAGGAGAGAGGCCAATCCAAGTTTCCTTGCTGGTACTGTGCCCTGCTAAACTTCCTCCTGTGTCCCCATCATGCTAGGTCATCACCACGGGCCACTCATGCTCAGAAGCCTAATCAAAAGCACCACTTGTCTCGGGAAGAAGACTGAGATTACTATGAAAATCACAGCGAGGCAGAAACACACCGTCCTCCCTGTCAGCAAGCTTCATGCCTGATCTATGAAACTTGTGCTGATAAAGGAGATAAATGTTTAAGCGATGGGCTTCAGATGCTGCTTCAGCTCCTACCAAGAAGATTTTCACGGTTCCTTCTCATGAATAAGTTCAGTGGAGCAGAGAATGCCCCTCTTGGACCAACTCCATTTTGTGCTTCTGTTGATGCAGCCAAAAAGGGGAACTAGAGCTAGGGCTTTTCCTTCAAATTTAGAGCAAGGGTCCACCTCAGAGAGGGCTGCAAGTGGCCCAAAGAAGGTGAGGCTCCTACTTTCAGCAGAAAGCTCGTAACAAGAGCAGGGATGCCAACAGTTACGCATAAATCTCCTGAACGTGGAGGCAAGGAGGGTTAATTATCCCCCCTTCCTGCCACTCCGCTTTCTCCAATGTGTTAGCCCATCACACGGATCGCTGACTTTCTAGAAATATTCCCTGGCTTTGCGGGGACGTTCTTTCAATAAACGGCATCCAATTTGCTCACGGTCCCTGGAATCTCAATTTCCTCAAAGGATTTTTCATCTGAATCCAGTTCATGTGAAGGGTTTTTTCCTTCTTCGTTTTTCAGCATAAGGGAATAGGCAGGGCCTGCTTTACTTTTTCTTTTTCTTTTTTTTTTTTTTCTTTTCTGTGTTATTTTTTTTCATAAACTGAAAACCTTTGCTGAAGAGTCTGAAATTTGGGAAAAAATCCAGCTCATCTGTCAGATATTTCTAGAGTTACGTAAAATGGAATGAGATTTGTACAGTTTAGAACAGGAAAAGGAAAACAGGCTAATATGTCATGTGTTCTATGAGATGAAACCTATATGATAATCAGAAAAACAGCCCCAAATGAGTTGACCCGATTCAAAGCTCTCGTTGTTGTATCAACTCACGCATAAACCAATAATAGAATAATGGTATATGGCCACATGAGGGCAAAATCTCAATCCCTACAGATTATAACCACATTTTCAAAGAGATTACAAGAAAGCATCTTGTTTCTTAAACGGGAGACACTTACGTTTTACTTGCTCTGTTTTGCTTCCTTCTAGGAAAAGAAAGAACAGCAACAAGGAAAAGATGCACTTTGTGCCCCCCACTTTCCACTTTTTTCTCATTTTGGTCACTGCAAGAGGCCGCTCAAAACTGTCAGGGCCCGGTATATTCAAGCTCCTGGGGAGAAAGCAGAAAAAAAGACTTAGATCCTCTGAAACCGGTGGAGATCACTGATGCTTAAGCTTTTAACGTGTTGGCGCGGTGGGGGGGGGGGGGGATGCTGGAGAACTTATGTAAGCGTAAGCGTTGTTTTCCCGTGTCAGAAAGAGAACTTGCCTCTTCGGTCTTGCAAAGATCGTGGGGGGAAATTCAAGCAGATGAACAGGCGTTCCCATCCAATGCTAAGGCTAAAAATCCTTACAGGCAAGTCATAGAAAAAGAAAAATACATTTTGAAATCTTCCTTTTAACAGAATTAGAGTTGATTTCTCAGGAGATTTTCTTTGGGAGAAAAGGGAAATGGATTTGCAAAACAGCTACTTTGGCAACCAAGATAAAAATAGTAGGCACGGGACCCAAACAATTTCTGAAATGAAAGTTCACCCATGTTAGCTTCAGCGATGAGGCACAAATTGGTTAATAATACTTCTCCTGTGTCCTCCATAAGATCTATAAAGATCTTCAGTTTGGCTACTTATGTTGGAAAAGACAGATGTAATTAGCAAATGGATGCAGTTAAATACCTTTACCGTTCAGACATTGCTTTCACATGAAGTCCACTGTGGAACGGAACTTTATAACGGGCCATCCTCAAAGGAAATTAGGCCAATTTAAATAGGTAACGTGTTTGCCTTACACTGCTGGGCCAAAGGCCATCAGAGCAACTATAATTCTGAAAAGCAGGAGACTTGCATTTCTAGTCTAAGGGGTGGAAATTCTTAAACCTTCGAGCCTTAGAACACAGAACATTTGCTAGAGCTCAGATCCAGTCACAGGTCATTTCCATAGACACTAGAGTTTGCAAAAACGTTCCAATGGATGATCTGAACATATTTAAATGTTCAAAAAACACCACATTTCAATCCAGGGTTAACCCCGGATGGGAACTGAGTGCATTGATCTTTTCTGAGGGGCCAACCTAAATATTGAGTATAAAGAGTTGGCAGGAATACAACATAATCATTCTGGAGAACCGAACGGTTTTTGGGGCATGATGCAGATACTTCAAATGCTATGAACTTGTCTGGGTAATTTGAAAGCCATTGCTTGAAATTACGGCTACGTAACCAAAGAAGAACTGATCATGAACATGTTCCTAGCCTCCCAAAGGCCTCGATTCTGATGTCTTGGTCCCTTCTATGAACTTGTGGCTCAGCTTCAATCACTCAGAACGTCCCTGCCCTCTGAAGCAAATCATTTCCATGAACAGTTTAACACAGCTGCCCACCCCAGTGAAGTTCTTTCTGAGCCTACTTTAATAAGCTTATCCCCCAAGCCTTCAAATGAGAAAGATTTTCTAACCGCTGAAATCCAATTTATCACAATCACATATGGATCTCAGGGGGTAGTTTTGAAACCACAGTTTTCAGGTCGCCCCATGCAAGAACCAACAGGGTTATTTTACTTGTATGATGGGGGGGGGGCGGTTCAGTGAACAGTAGCATTGCTTCATAACTCAAGCTGGCAAGAAAACGGCTCTCAGAATTTTTTTTGCTTTTCTTGGGTCCCGACTAATGTTATGAGCAAATAGAAAAGTTGGTGACGAGAGAGCAATTAATCTCTTTTGGCGTTCCTGTCATCTGTGTGGCCTCCCAGGCTGTGATGGAGAACATCAGAAAATGAATCGCTTTATAAATATTCACTTTTGATTTACAAGATCTGAAGCCCTGTCTTTGTATTCTGTGCAGAAATATAAACTGAGAAGAATTCCTTCCCCAGGACTCCTCCCCGTTCAATTTCTCTTTATCCCTTTAACTTTTTCTTTTCAGCGGGGGGAGAGATGTGGTTCAAGACATTTTTGGGGGGACTGCAGCAATAAACCTAAGCAAGCATTGCTCAGCAAACATGCCGACTCTTATACTTGCAAAGAGCCAAACTGTCCTTAATTTTTCAAATTATACTTTGACCCAGTTAACTGGAGTTATTTCTGCATTAACTCTCTGCTTCACACAGGCTGTTGTGCCATTGAACTTGCACGGACTCTTTTCCAGGTTCCTTCAAAATGTGGCCACAGACACACGTTTTGGGGGATCCAGGCCCCGGTCAAGAAAGCCAATAAGAAAACAAGATCCCACCACTAACACTGGGGAGGGGGGCGGGCGGAGGAGGCTTTACAAGAGACTGAGAAACTTGTCAGTGTCTAAAGAAGTGTATCCATGAAGGTGCCTCCATGAAACAAGCATTCACACAGTTCATTTGCATTAAGCAAAGGGACCAGAGGCTCCTTGCCCAGTTGAAACTGCAAGGCAATCTGGGCCATCAAGTGTCAGAAGTCTGGACATTCTCAGAGGAGGTCTCCTGGGTAGAAGAGAACCAAAGCGACATTCCCAAAGGAAGGCTAAGGGATGAGCACATCAGCCAGTTCTCCACGCCCCACAGTGTCTCTTTAATCCGCCAGAGAGGCTTGACTGACCTTGTAATCTCACATTCACTGTCTTCCTGGGACAGTCCCCAGGGTAGCAATTCTCTTTCTGACAAACAACAAGAAGACACTGGGGTCTCAGGGCCCCCGTCCATCAGCTGAAATCCTCTCCCCACTCTACCACCCAACAAGAAAAAACTCCGTTCGCTGCTGGTGGGTTGCCACAGAAAAACGGCACTTCTAGCCCAGGGTGTCTCTCTCCGCCAGAGTCCTTGCCTTCACTGCTGCTTATGACTGACAAACAATGCCTTGCGTTTGGCTTGCAAAACACCTTGCTATCCATCATTTCATCTCATTCCCTACAACAACTCCACCTCCAAAATGGGCACCCTGGAGCCCAGAGAACTCAACTGCCCATTCCCACAGTTAGTGGCAGGGCCGGGAGGGTCTGGAAGGCAGGCTTTCCAGGCCCTAAGCTCTCTGGCAGGGCTGCGTTGCTTCCTGAGCCTAGCGTCTCAAGCTCTGACCCCAGTGGTCTGGGCGGAAAATGAGACAGATGTCCAGAGGACAGAGGAGCCTCTCGCCTGTCCGCTGTGTTTCATTAACTTTAGCATGTATTAATCACCCTCTGGTCCAGGGCACTTCAGCAAGCGAGAAAGAAGGGTCGGGACTCAGGGGATAGATAACTAAGGAGACTGCAAAACCCTTTAGGTGGCTACCCAAGTGGCCTTCCCCGAAGCGCCAGAGCATGGAGATATGCAGGCCCCGCGGGGAGTGGCAAGTGGTGAGTTCGAATCCGGAGTCCCTAACCTGCCCCGGGCGCCTTGGAGCCCACCTCCAGCCGGGCCAGGGCCACTAGCAGCTGGACCCGAGAGCCCAGTTGGGGTGGCAGGTCAGGCAGGGGGGCGGGGGGAGCTCGGGGGAGGGGGGGACGTCCAGGGGCGGTTCTGGCCAACAGGAGACGCCCCACCTGTGCAAAGGCTGGAAAGGAAGGTAGAGGAAGCGGGCATCGGGCACTGCTCACTGACCTGGCCACTGGCCTGCTCCGTCTTCCACGCGTGCACGCGCTCCGAGCTCCCCGGGGCGCTCCTCCGAGGTCTGGGGCTCGCAGGTTGTGGCGAGAGCTAGAGTGCGCGCGAGGGGGGAGGGGGCACTCAAAAGTGGGTGGGAGGAAAAACATCACCGCCCTCACACCACGAGGGAGCAGCGGCTCGCTCGGCTCCCGGGGGCAGAGCCAAGGCGCGGGCGCGGCGGCCCGGGGCCACCTGCCCGCCCGCCGCCCGCTCCCCACTTGGCCGGAGAGGCCGGGCGCCCGGCGCAGGCGAGAAGTCCGCGGGCACGCAGCGGCTGCAAGCCCGCACCCCGTCTCCGCCCCGGCCCGGCGGCTCTACTTCTGCTCCCGGGGCCCGAAAGTTAAGAAATCGGGAGAAAGTGTGAGGCTCTGCCGGCGACTTTCCCATCACGCAGCGCCCCCACTGCACCCCCCTCCTCTGGCTAAGCGAGCGTTGGGGTCTTAAAGGGACCGCACCTCTCCTCCGGCCCCTCCTCCCCCTGTGCACTGGAATGCACCTAGGAGCTTCCCACCACCCGCGCCTGCCCCGGAGACCCCGGCTACCCTCCGACTTCCCTGTCTGGAAGCCCGCAGCTCTTCTCCTCCCGCACAGGGCCCCTCTAGGTGCACCTGGTCGGGTCCTGAGCTGGTGCGCGGGACACCAGAGGAGCTGGCCTCGCAAATTATGCCCCAGCAAGCTGCTTATCACTTAGGGGCGTTTCCCAAATCCACATTGCGGCTAGAAAAGTGGCAAAGTGTTGGTGTCCTTCAAGGCACAGTGGAGATGGGTGTGTGTGTGGAGGGAGAGGGGACGAGTTAGAAATCTGCTTTCTCCCAACAAAGAGGGCCCCCCAACGCCCCCATGAAAAGGGCCTTTACTAATTGGTAAGGGTCTTGAAGAAAACTTGGAGCGACCCACCACAGCCACCCCTGTTCTCCCAGTCCCTAAGATTCTGATTCGGGAGTTGGGCCAAGAACCCAGCCTTGAAATCACAATAGCACTGCTGATGCCTTGGTGAGGCTGAGACAGACTAGGACAAAGTTATGTTTATTTGATGAGAGGTAGTTACAAAGAATTCTCAGAATCCTGTAAGGGCCCCAAAGGCTCTGCCTTGACAGACAGTACCCATTTATATGTTAAAGCCCCCAAATTTGGAGGAGAGCTACAGGGCTGCTTTTTTTTTTCTTCTTTCTTTCTTTCTTTCTTTCCTTCTTTCTTTCTCTCTTTTTTTACTGGAATATAACTTTATTATTTTTTTATTTTTTTAATAGAATTTATTGTCAAGTTAGCTAACATACAGTGTTTACAGTGTGCTCTCGGTTTCGGGGATACATTCCGGTGATTCATTGCTTACATACAGCACCCAGTGCTGAACTGGATCATATTGATTTTTCCAGGATCTGTATAACGTTATGGCTTACAGAGTAGTTTCATATTCATCATCCCTACTCTTTAAACCCTCACAACAACCCTTGAACTGTCTGTGGCCTTGAGTGTCAGAATTGGTAGGGATCTTCTGGACCATTGAGCTCAAAGTCTTCATGTCACAGAAGAGGAAATTGATGAGGGGGGTGGGAGGGAGGTGATGTATCCAAGGTCATGCACACAGTAAATGATAGATCTGAGATTCCAAGTCAGGTTTCCTGACTTTCAACCAACTACTCTCTGATTGCTATCTCCAGCCTATAGATGAGGAAATGGATGCTCAGGAAAATTGTAGCTTACCCCCAAATCACATATCAGGAACACAGAACAAGGGAAAATTGAAACAAAAATAACTGTCCTGGGAAATTACCTCCCTTTTCTTTCTTCAGAAGTGTTAATATCATCCAACTAGCTCCTGCATTGCTGGGGATGTTTATTTCACTGTTAACAAAGGAAAGGGGGCCCTTTCTAAAATGTTGCCTTCAGGGTCCAAAATGTCTAGCTCCATCCTGCTGTTTGGGTAGCCATACATTGCCACATGCATTCAATTTGTGCTGTAGTATATTAGTTTGAACTTGCAGATTTGTTGCCTTATAACTGTTCTCACGCCGTTTAACGTGCTGATGTTTTGTCTCACTAGACTGTGAGTTCTTCAAGGCAAGGGCTGGTTGTTCAATTTCCTTTGTATCTGCATTCCCCAGCCCCCATCCATCATCAGTCCCAACATGCCTGGAGAGTATGTATTCAGGAAAATGGGTTTCAGGAACAACAGCCTGGGACAAAGATGGATCCTAGCATTGAAAATCAGTAGACTCACTGAAATTTAAAACTCCTATCCATTTGGTTATGACCACTTGCTCCCAGTGCTTGATGTAATATTCTGATTACTGCAAAATACACCATCCCAAAACCTAGTGGCTTAAAAGCTGAAAGCAATTTTTTTAAAGCTCAAAAAAATTTACTGTGATCAAACGGTTCTTTTCAACTGGGCAGTTTTTGTTCAGGATCTCTTAGACACTTGGCAACTCTATATGGGTGCTGCCAGAATTTTCTGAAAGGTTCTTCATTAGTGTAAATGCTGGTGATCCCTGTATTAGTTTGTCTTGATGTGTGAGTTGGGAACTGCAGTTTGGGTGAGTCCAGACCTATACTTCCTACCAGATCTTATCCAAACTACAGTGAGGATTATCTCCATGCTTTATATTTTTCCTATTAAATGGGGATTAGAGCATAGATCATCTCATACTCATTTCTTAAAACATTTTATTTGCTGATAATTGTAGATTTACAATTATAAGAAATAATTCAGAGGGATCCCGAATACCCTTCACCCCCAATAGTAACATCACACATAACTGTAGTATGATAT